GAAAATTATTTTTTTCATAACATTTATATTTCAACAGCAAATAGAAGTACCTATGGCATCCATATCAGAATAAATATTATTGTCTAAATATGTATTAAATAGTACAGAAGGAAAAAATGCAGTAAGTGATATTAACTCAAGTGGATCATTAAGTAGTCCAAAGGATAAATTTGTTATTAATATGACTGGAGAAATATATTCATTTGTAGATGTCCATAGATAATTGATATATATACGTACCAGAATCTTTAGTTTTTGTAGCATCTAAAATAGCGTTGTATTTTTTTTATAGCAAAATAGCTAGCAACCCATGTTTGTGTTAAAATGTGAAATTTGCTACCTTTTTACTAAACATTTGACTATTACTTTTGTTAAACTGATTTACGTAAATGTATAATTGTTAAAAGTTCGGTCTGGTCCAGTCTGACTCTATGAATCGAGTTTTAATCTAGGCTCAGTCCTGAGTCAGACTTGGGACCGAGTTCTAGTAATCTCATAGTAGTAGTCACATGCAGTAATATCTGTGACAGGTTATATCGATTATTGTGAATTGTATCTAATAAAATCAAAAGATCATGTGACTACTATAAGATTATTGGGACTTGGTCCCAAGTCTGACTCAAAACTGAGTCAAGATTAAAACTTAACTCATGGAGTCAGACCAGACTGGACCAGACTTTTAATATTTCTAGTAATTGTATGCATATGCTAGATGATGATCGAATAACTCACTGAGATAATCAATGGAGAACTTACTGAAAAGAAATAAAAATATATACGTAAAGATTTATACAAATTTTTAATAAGGTGATTTGCTAATTTTACAAAATTTACTAGCTAATTTTGGCTAGCATTTGTGTTTCTAATAACCAGTAACCCTGATACGTATGTAAGACAAAATCTCTATATGCTATATTTCTGGTTTAAGCGTAACTGTATCATGCAGCTACTCTAATTTAATATATCTTATCAGATATGTACAAACAATTACAAAAAGAAGAATCTAAAATATAGGAAGAACTTAACAAATGAAGACAACAAGAGAAAAAAAAGGCAGCTAACAAACTCTCTACAGGATTAGATTGGCTTATCAAATTCTCTATCGATAAGAAAATAAAACAACAACAAAACTTAACCTATTATCTAGACAAATTCTACTCTTTATTAAAAAATATCTATACAACTTTTACTCAAAAAAAGAAATTAAACCTGCTACAAAAACCAGACCCTCACTCAAAGCATCATTTTAATATATTATCTATACTATGATAGCTAAAAACCTCAATTCCTTATTGATATTATCACAAAGCCAACCTAAATGTTAACCCAAAGACACCTATTCTCTTTAAATACCTTGAAATTATATTTTGAAGCCTGCTACTTAAATTTATAACTATTCTATTTACCAAATTAAACTATATCAAAATTTTTGAATCATCTCTTACTTTTTTTCCATATATCCAAAAACAAAGATTTCAAGTTTGTCTTAATATTGCTTATCTTCACTTATATCTTACTGAACAGTATCAAACTATTAATCACATTAAACTAGCAAAAGATCTCAACTTTATATTAAAAAAATTTCATATTACTACTAAAATCAAATCTGTTGATCTAGATAAATCTTATCTAATAATAAAATCTGATTTCAGATATAATACAACTATATCATTCAATTTACCCAAAACTCTTTTTCTTAAACAATACTATATTCCATCTTTTTTTAACTCCAGAAAGAACATAAACAAGTGGTTTGACAAACAATACCCTATCTACTATAAACAATTTGCTAACTCTCTAGTTAAAAAACAAACCTTTCTCAATATACAAGTTTATATATATAGGCAATTCATATCATATCTAACTGATCTTATTTCTTCTAACTTTAATTTTCCTAAACCTTCTGATGCAAGAGATAGGAAATTCTATGCTTCCAAATTCACCAACTTTCATACCCTCTAGTATAAAGACAAAAAATATGAATATTACTATCTTAACAACTTTAATTTATATGACAAAGACTGTCTACTCAGAGATATACTTAAATACTCTTATGAAACCTTTTTCAAATCACATCTGAAGAAGAACTAATATAGATCAAACCACTAATTAATGCTACTATTTTCAACATTAATACTCTATATGAAGCTTTATTTAAAGTACAAATATCCATCTCTACCCTCAACAAGCTTGCAACCAAAGCTGAAGAATCAGCTTATAAACTAAACCAAGTAATATTTAGTACAAAATAACACAGTGCTTACTTTTACAAATACTTTATATTATATCATCTAGCTGTAGCTTGCAATCACAATATAAGCAACAAAACTAAAGAAGAAGCAATATTACTATTAACTAGTAATCTTGTTGAATTTGACTTTTTTGCTTGAATTATCATATACTTTGATTTTATTAAAGACCTACAAGAAGACAACCCTTTTTCTATATTATCTATTACTAAATACTATTTTAAAACTACATTTTTTCAAGCTGAAGAATTTCTTAAACAAAAGTTTAAAATAGATTTTTTACCTATTGACTTTGAAGACAAATTTTTTTTTACTCTATTACTATCTCCTCAATGAGACTCTCTTTCTTAGCAAGAAACCTCCTTATAGCAAGAACCTTCTTTTCAGTAGCAGGGTTTAGAACAATAGATTCTAAACCCTGTTATAACAAATTTCTACTTTACTATAAGCTTTTACCAGTTTTAACTCTACAAACATTTGGTTTCTTTTTACAACTGCTTCAACAACTACAGTTTGATAACAATATAACTATTTCAGTTAATAACACTAATTCAGAAATACATATTTATCTTCCAAATAACCACAATCTCTTACTCAACTATAGAACAATTAAACAATTTAACTTTAGCAAATATTGAGATTTACTTCTTAAGTTATCTTCATTTTCAGTAAATAATATTAAAAACTATCTAATGAATTATAACCCATTTCTAACTCTGCTATATATACCGGAGTCTTCTCTATCTCCTACAGTTATAACAAATATCTCTTCACTATCTATACTATCATTTACTCTAAACAATCTTCTTAACAACCAATTCTCTTCCAACTTATATACTACCTCCACTAAGGTATATATATATTTACTACATGAATTTGACATACTTTCAAACCACCTATTAACTTATGACTTTTGTGATGACTACAATCTAATATATAGTCAACCCTCTGTAAATACATATCATCAGAACCAAACTTTTGAGGATATGCATTTAGAAAACAATAATAAAATATACATTTATAGGAGTTTAGTATATATTTGGATCAGAAAATTAATATGCATTTAGGAAGGTTATGCACTTAGGGGAAATGCATTTAGAGGGGTTGACTGTATCTATTTTTCTCACTACTTTGCTTACTCCTCCAACAATAACTGACCCTTTATTCAAGTTTAATATTGTGATACACAATATTCAAGAATTTAATATATCTGAAAAAAGATTTTTATGAAAAAACTACTATCTAACAAACAATCTGTATATAATCAGCTTAACTAAAACTAAAGTTTCTAATATTGTAAAAACTAAATTCTAGAATACTCAACAATATACCTACTTTTGGTCTAACTAAACAGTATCTAAAGAGAGCATATGTATTATGGTTTGCAATAATATTCAGCCTCATATATACAATATCATAACTTACCCTAAAGGAGCCATCACAATAGACTTTTACTTCAAACATAACTACAAGTTTA